ATTTCAATCCAATACACCATACAAGTACTACAAATAGTCAACAAGCAGTTGGAAACCCTAGAAGTTCTTGTTTAGGTCCATTTTGGACTAGGACTTCCTTATTGGACTCAATGGACCAATAAGCTTCCAATTTGACTATCATGGGCTTAGAACCTTTAAATGGGCTCTAATTGGACCCAATTCCATTTAACTCAATATTTTGGGCCATATTGGGCCTAGAATGAGATAGATTAACTTTATGAACCATTTGGACCATAATTAACCTAATCTAACCTAAAGGGTCATAAAAATCATATTTATATTTTTTTTAAGCCAAAAATCATCCACCCTAGCTATAACATGGGCTTAAGGGCATCAAGCCCAAAAATCTCCTCACACCCTCCCCATTCTCGGCCCAAGCCCAAAAGAAGAGGGGGTTGACTTTGTGAGTGACACCTCACAATGATCCAAGGGACTTCCATGCAAGGGGACTCATACTTCCATGCATCATCCTTTCATACTTCTCTCTTCTCTCCTTCCTTCTTGATTCTCAGCCGATTCCAACACACACACACACAATTCACTCACTTTTCTCTCAAGGAAACTCTCTCATAATTTACCCATATTTCGAGATCTAAGAAGGAATCAAGGTAATTTTTACACAAAAATCATCATCTAAGGTAAGAAATCTCTTAGATCCTTAAGCTAGCTACTTCATTTCATCCAAAAATCACCTCTTACTTCATTCAAACTCATGGTCTAGCACCTAAGAAGCATTCAAGTTCGAAATCATCCAAGGAAGGTTGCTAGGGCTGAAAATCACCTCATTTTCTTCCATCTTTTCTCCAAAACCGAAACCACACCCAAAGATGAGCTGCATATCCCCTATTTTTTGGTTTTATAAGTTTTTTTTTGGGGGGGGGGGGGAATACAAGCAAATGCGTAGATCTATGAGTATATGTATGCTTTGTATGATTTCTATGCTTATTTACATGTTTATATGTGATTATGGTGTTGAAACTAGTCAAAAGACCTTAAAAATCGAGATTTGCATTAGGATGTAGGAAACAAGTGTTAAACATATTACTACACACAAATCATTTCTAGAAAAATAACCAAGTTGGTTAAAATGAACTCATTGGGCTAAAAATCCCATTTTGGACTCAAAATGCTAAAAATATAATGTTAAAGGGTCCAAAATGACAAAATACAAATTCTGATGGATGAAATGAGTCAAAACAGTTTTAATAAAGTATTTTTCTGGAAATATTCTCTTTGGGGGATTAAATGTGAAAATTTTAAGCATAATGGGCCAAAAATGAATTTTTCGGCCCAATAAAGCCCAATATGCGAGATTTCCAAATTTGAGGGGCTGAAACTGTGATTTTCTGTAAAACAGGGGACTACTAGTGCTCCAAATCCATTTCAAGGGTTAAAAATTCTTTTCATATTTAAAAGGGGCCAAAAATGCAAAAATTTTCTATTTTTGGCCAAAAGTGTAAAAACGGCGAAATTGAGGGTTCTAGCCGAGAAAAATTTCATTTGGTGGACTAAAACTGTTCTTCAAATAACTTTGGGCTGAAAAATAACTTTTCTACAAGTTTTGATACTAAAGTGTCAAGAAAAATAGTTTGAGGACTAAAATAGAAATTATTTTATATAAAGGGTTAAATGTGTAAATTATTCAAAAGAAAAGGGGCTGCTATAAAGAAATATCCTAAAGTTTTAAATAATAATTCCGTCATGATGAAATACTAGCATCTCGACTATCGGCAAATTATAATACACCTTCAACACCAAAAATCGTTATCAAACGAATTGATTCGGTCTCGAATCAATAATGAATCCGAAACTACTAATACGACGACACTTCAATACACACGCGGAAAATTCGGGAAGTCAATACACACGTGAGAATACACCAGACGTCGATACACCGTCTTTGGGCCCAAAAGTTTCAAATCATGTTTGTTGGGCCTAGCTAGCCCAATGGCATGATCTTTAGGCCCGAAGGAAACTCGCTTACATGTAGTTGGATTTTACATGACCTAATTTCGTGTAAAAGGGCTTTTACGGGCTTTGTGCTGTTGGACCCCAAGGGCCTTCTGGTGCTGCTAGTAAAGTCGAGAATTCACCAAATGCGGGTCGGGCTAAGGGCCCTTCGCATTCACGATAGCCTTGAACGACTTACGGAAAATATCGGGGCTTCGCACCCTCTTTTCCTCCTCGTCGTGGGGCTACATGAAGTCCGGGTGTTTGGATTAAGTGAATAGTGCGAGCGATGCCTAAGGGATCGTTTGTATGGTTGTAAACTAGTCATTTTCATTAATGTGTGTTTATAACAATTCACAATGAATAATGAATCCAACGTCACCGGGACTCAACGAATACACCTGTCGTAACGAAATAACATGATACAAATTTTTTTTGATGCAAAGTATTAGGAAAACATCGGGTTTTCCTAGTGTTTTCAATTAATACACCTACGAGTTACATACCGAGTTTTACAAATCGCTCTTTTACATTTATAGAAACAAACAAGCATACTTACGGATCTTCACACTTTTTATACTAAGTTCTTTTCAGAAAATATCGGATTTTCTGGTGATTTTCAAAACAATACAAACCACTATATTTCAAACATTACTTATGAACTCACCAACATTTCATATGTTGACGTTTTTCAAAATACTTGTATTCTCAGGTAACAGGTAAATCAAAGGGAAAAATGTACCTAGTGATGTTTTGTTGTTTGTCTATTCAGTTCGAACAATTTACTTTTTAGGAATGTAATGTTATGAAACAATGTATTAAATGTAAACACTACCAGTTGTACTATTCCAATGCTTGGTATTGTATGATGTTATGTTTCATGTATATTCATTGTGATGGTATTCAATTGAGTCATAATAGCCCTCGGACGTTTCTGCCGTCTGGTTCGGAGGTGTGACATTACCTTTATTATTAGATGCTAGAGGTTGGTTTTTTGGGGGTAACTTACTAAGCATTCGAGCTTACATTTTATTGATTATTGTTTCAGGTACATTAGTTGACCAGGGCAAGGGCAAGGCGAAGGCATGACGTACACATCCCCGTTTTTATGATTTTGGATTTCTGGGAACTTTGATATGAAAGCATTTTGAAAGTGATTAGAACTTGTTGATGTTGAGTAACATTTATTTGTGTAAAAATGGTTTTTGGAAAGTTTAAATTTCTTCGAAAATTTTTGGGTTGTTACAAAATATATATATATATATATATATATATATATATATATATATATATATATATATATATATATATATATATATAATATTAGTCAACTCTAGGAAAATTTGTTTTATAAATTAAAATTTGTGAACTATTAAATATTAAGAAAAAATATAGGCAAAATTTCGAAAACGGTCCACGTGGGTTGTCATTTTATATGGCTAGTGCCTCAGATTTATGGATATTACGAATTCATAAGCCCTAGGTCCTACTTAGTAGACCGAAAATGACAAAGGTTTGCGAAACCAAGTATCACCTTCTGAATTGAATCTTAAGTAGTCTATCGGTAGTGTAAAGTTAATTGCCCATTTTCAGTAGGCGGCGAAAGGTTATACTTAAGAAAGTCAGCAAACAACGATTATTCTATGTAGGTATATCGTTCCCATTGACTCTCCTAACGTTGAGTTAATTGATTTCATAACCTTTTTGTAGCATACTAGACGGAAGGCTACGCACCACCACTCTCTTTTCTATTAGCCTAAGCGTCATCGTATCAAAATTGCAAATTGTCATTTTCAATAAGTTTTGTTATGGTTTTTGTCTGTTTTCAAATTGAAAATATTAATTTGCACTCATGATTTTTTTTATAGATTTTTTATTATTTAGTTTAATTTTTTATTAAATATAAATATGTTACCCACACCTAACCTGATACCCAGACAGTCAGATTAAATGATCAAATACAACCAGCAAGAACAAGAAAAAAGTTAACTCCAAAACTGAATTCTTAATTAATAATCGAAAAAACTGTCACGAAAACGAAACTTTCCATTTGATTAGTATAACATCCTCAATAACCCTTTTGTCACTCGTGATGATCATTAGGTCCATTAAGACCATTACACAATTAAGACTATGTATCTCAAATACATATAAAGACACATGCATATCTTATTTTCTAAAACCAAAATCGAAATTTACTTTTATATATATATATATATATATATATATATATATATATATATATATATATATATATATATATATATATATATATATATATATATATATATATATATATATATATATATAGGGAGATGATCAAATGAGAACACTTAAAAGGTTGAGAACGCGAGAACAATTCTGGACCAATCATTTTATAAGGGCATATTAGTAAGTTTATATAAATATTAATTATTGATTTCCTAAAATCTAGGGATAATGATTTTAATTGCCTAACAAAATTAATATTTCCTTTTAGTTAATAAAATATATATAAATATTTTTCTTTTATGATTTTTTCTAAAAATTATTTATGACCGTTTCAAAAAAATCACCTATAAATTTTAATATTTCCTTTTATTTTAAATCTAAAAAGAAAATCTTAAATAAATATCATTTTCTACTATTTTACGTTTTTGTTTTTCAAAAAAAAAAAAAAGAATAGAAATCCAATCGCAAATCAATACATTTCCGATCATAAATGAAAACACATCAAATTACAAATAATTCAATGCATTTTTCATAAACTGAAAATAAAAAAAGAGTAAAAATTATCATTTTTTTCATAAAATGAATACCTCTAATCATAAATAAATACACTCATTCACATGAATACACTAATAATCATAAATAAATACAATCATTCACAATAATAAATTGCAATTCACAAATGAATACACTGTTATTTATAAATTAATACACATTCTATGATAAATGAATACACGTTCCATTCATAAAGGAATACAACTATTCACACACTTGTTATTCATAAATAAATACAACCATTCACGCACCCCTTTAAGAAATTATTACCAAAAAATTCGAAAATTAGGATTGTGTTTCTTTCCATTGGTACACCTCACTGTCGCTTTTTGGTTTGCAAAATCTCTCCCATAAGGTGGGAAATTACCCCTGAAAGGGTTCAGAATGTAGTTGTTGTTTTCAGGATCAGAAGTGAAGTCTCCGAACACCAAAATAGCAGAAACCTTGTGGCTTTGAGTAGACGTTTTGAAGATAAGATCTTGTGGTTCATAAAACTTAATTCCATAGCTAGATTCATGTATGAATAGAAAGAAATACAAGTAAAGAAATGTAGTTGATTAAACTTCATTGATTTACAGTCAAAATAAAAAGAAAAGAGAAGAAAATCATTACCGATCGAAGCAATTGCCCCATCGAGACCCCTTCCATCATTCCAGTCGAAAATGCTCTCACATACATTTTATCAAGCACCTTATGTGCAAAGTTCATCGCCTTTAAAAAAAACAACACATATGTTAGATCCATCTCTCCTGCACTCAATCATCCAAGCAATTTTCTCATATGATTTGTGAATGAATGTATCATATTGGGATCATAAAGAACAGTTTATCAATGTGATTGATCACATGTAGATTTTAAATCTATAGACAAAAACGTAAGAGAGATTTCTGCAATCGAGACTAACAAACCGCAAATTTAGGAAATAGAAAGTCGATTATCAGGATCAAAAACCAATTTTCAGAATATAAACACACAATTGAATCGAATAACAACAGCAAATCGAACGTACCTTTCTTTGATCGGGAGTTTTTGTTTCCGCTTGCCTTGCTCCATCGGGCCAATTGTTCTCCTCCCCTTCGCATATGCTACCACAATCGAAGGAGAAGCAGCCAAAAACTGCTTGAGCAGCCCTTGCTGCACCTACCGAGACCAATGATGATGGGAACAGATCTTCGTGGTGGGTTGTAGGTGATGCCCAGATCGATGATGGCGTGAGTTTTATGAAACTCTAAAAAGAAGATGTGGAAATATATACACGATAGATTAAAGGAAATATATGAACGGGTGAAAAATTATAGGAGATAGTAAAGTTGAAATTCCTGTTATGTCCTTTTAACCATTTAAAAGTTACATTTTAATGCCAACAGTTTAAGACTTTTTCATAAAACCCCCCTTTTAATAATGACCTTAGATTTAAGTATTGAAATGGTCCAAATTTGTTCTCGCGTTCTCAACCTTTTTAGTGTTCTCATTTGATCCTACTCCTGTGTATATATATATATATATATATATATATATATATATATATATATATATATATATATATATATATATATATATATATATATATATATATAGGGTTAGGTTCATGTGAGACCATTATATTTTGTGAAATGAAGAGACGTAATCCTAGACGTTTTTTTAAATAAGAAAAACATTTTTAAAATGCAAAATAATTAAAAATTTAAAAAAAAATTAATATTATTTTCGTCATTTATATTTCCCAAAAAATAATTACTGTTTTTTTGAAATATATGTGAAATATTCTAGTAGAATATTAGAATATTTTACATATTTGACAAATCTAATAGAATATTAGAATATTTTAATATTCTAATAATGTAGTGAATATTAGAATATTTCACGTATTTTTTTCAAATAACGGTAATATTTATTTATTATTTTATTATTTTTTTAGGTAAATAAAATGATGAAAATAATATTTAAAAAAAGAATTTTCGGATTTTTTCTTTTTAAAATTATTTTTATATTGTGTCTCACGGTCTCACAAAATTAACATGGTCTCAAATGAACCTAAACCTATATATATATATATATATATATATATATATATATATATATATATATATATATATATATATATATATATATATATATATATATGGATTACATAAATAGACATTGGTGTTATGAACAATATTTTTCTTTTAATTACCAATTTAATTTTTCATAACAAATATATTTTTTTAAATTTCAATTTAATTGTAAGTGATATAAACGAGCTATTATGTATAAAAAGAAATAAATTAATCAATAATATATAATGATGTTTTTTGGTCATTTTATATGTATAAGCGAATTTTGTCAAATACTAAAAAGCAACTTATCAACTTATTGTGTTTTGATACAACATAAACTAATTCAAACATTTAAATTTGCAAAAATAGAAAAAAACATTAATTACTTTGTAAAAAATAGCAAAAATTAGCAAATTACACAAAATAACTATTGAAATCACTGGTGATTAGCCTCGTTTGCTATTTCTTCATCTCATCTGCAAACGTACAACCCATTAATGCATGTCATCTGCATCAACAACTTGTACATTTTCAGAAGATAGCGTCATATGTTATTTATTCCAAGCAATCTACGATTTCTTTACTTGGATTATATATATACATTTTTTTTAAAACGCTCATTTTTCTAGTTTCAAAGATGAGAAAACTCTCTATTGTATTAGTGTTTTATTCTACTGTCATTGAAATTTAGAACGTGTATTAAATAATTAGAGTTTAATTTCACATTTGATGTAAAGATGCATGGTTTTCTCAAGTTATTTTTACAATAAAAAGCAACTAATTGTTAGAATAAGTACCAACTTATATTGATAATAATAACCAAGAACAAGACCTAACTACAAACTAATCGTAACTTCAACTTCCTATTTTCGGTTTCAAATTGTTAACTCGAATTAGCCGAGTTAGATATTATCAAAGAAAAATGAGAGATTAAAAGAGTTTCCCCAACTTTGAAACTAGAAAAAGGAGAGTTAAAAAAGGGTATTTATAGTTCAAGGAAAGAAATTGCAGATGGCTTGGAAGAAATAGCAGATGACGCTATCAGCCGAGAATGTACAAGTTGCTGATGCAGAAGACGTGCATTGGTGGGTTGTACATTCGTAAAAGAGATGAGGAAATACCAAATGAGGCTAATCACCTATGATTTCGATGGTTATTTTGTGTAATTTGCTATTTTTTACAAAGAATTAGTATTTTTGGCTAATTTTACAAATTTCTCTTTATTTAATTATGTTTTGGTGCCGAATAAGTTAATAAATACCTTTTAAAATAAACATAAGTTGTTTTAAATAAGCAATACCAAATACCCATTCTCCCTTTGACCTCATTTCCACCCAATATGATTTTTTTTTTTTTTTTTTTTTTTTTTTTTTTTTTTTGTGTGTGTGTAGTTCGTATTACATAATTAAAGGCTCCGGGAGAAGTTGCTGGTACAAAGCTTCAGGTGAAGTGCTTGACGAAGTTGTTAAATAGTGATTCTAGGCGAAGCTACAAACGAAGAGAGAAGTAGATCTACGGACAAAGTTAAGAAGCATCATTGTAAACTTGGTAGAAAAGCCAAGCATCGAAGCAGGGCCAAATTCTAAACTTCGTTTTGGCCTAGTAACTTGTGGAGCAAGTCTTCCATAATAGGTCAACTTATGTCATTGATGTCATAGATCTATGAGCCTTGGTCTAGAAGTAAGTAATTAGGTCAAACGTTGAATATAAATTGATCTCCCAATATGGTTGTAATCTTAATGCAAAAAAGTATGTGTATCATTGATTATTAAAAGAATCTATTTTTAGTTTACATATGGACATAGCTTGATTACTTTGTCAAATGAACCACGTTAAACCCTTGTGTTATTATTGTTCACCACATGTTTGTTATTGTGTTTATGACTGTTTATCGAAGTTCTTAATCATAACAATAATGATTGATCTATTGGTGGCTATCGTTTTCGATGTTTTTTCCTAATGCATACCATTCCTAAACCTTGTAATAATGACTCTTGAAGAGTTATATTTTTATAAACAAAACATTTTGGCCTATTTGTGTAGATTGTACTAGGAAGGAACAATGTCAAACAATGAGAGTGAAAAATATTTCAAGTTTCTTAAGGATGAACTTGAAGAGTGATAACTCTTCAATGGGTCAGAGAAAGATGATGAGAAAAGTCTAGTCGTGTGCTAAGGTGCATTTTTAAGCATATTGAAAAATATATTACGTTTAACCTGAACATAATCTTTTATAACATTATCAAACAACTGTAACATCGCCTTTAATAATTCATCAAGATATTCTCACATGTTCTCATAAATTCTTAACCAATAGTTTTTAGTTTCTCATATTTGATGTATTTAATATGACAATATTCACTTTTTTCCTTTTTTTTGTCTTGACCAAATCCTACCAATCTTTTTCCTTATATTGGCTCGTAATTAATTTTGTGGAAGGTTCTTATGATGGTCTTTTCTCGGTTGTTAAGTATTTTTGTTTTTGTTTCAAAAAATAACATTCTAATTAAAACATAATGAATTCAATGATGTAAGTAATTTGTGAAACCTTGCTTTTTAAAATTCATGATGGATCGTCTGTAACACCCAAAGTCTAGAAGGCCAAGAAAGGAAAGAAAACCCTAAATTAAGGGGCGACTCGGCGAGTCCAAGGAGGAACTCGGTGAGTCCGAGCGGGATCCGGGTCGAGGAGTAAGTGACCGACTTGACGAGTCGGCCAAGGGGACTCGGCGAGTCTGGTCTGTGCGAGGAAAACCCTAAATTCGGGACTTGGAGCCTATTTAAGTGCCTCATTCTCTTCCCTAGGGTTCCTTTACTGCCTCTCTAACCCAGAACACCAACCCTAGCCGCCATATCCATTGTTTGAGCCAATTGTTGCCTTGAAGAGTGCATTAAAGCTTGGAGAAGGATGAAGGATCTTGGAGGTGCAAGAAGGGACTATAGATCTGGGACTGTGAGGATATTTCTGAGCATTTGGAGGTAATAAACTAGTTCTTGGACTCTTTTATACCTAGATCTATATGTGGGTGTTGGGGCTTTTTAGCCATAATGGTATTCATTTGAGTTACAAGCCAGATCTGAAGTTGCTACTTCGGATCTAAGCATATTATGGTCTTGAGAAGCATAAAATATTTTCCCTTGAGTTGATTATGGAGCCTCTTTGCCTTAAACCCTAGTTTATGGTGTATTTTGCCTAGATCTCCTTCTCTACACGTAAAGTTTGCAACTTTACGTGAGGAATAGGCTTGGGAAGGGTAGATCTACAGTTTGGAGTCCATGCATGACTCAAAAGTCCTCTGAATGTAAGGAGATCTGAATGGACTCGGCGAGTAGCATGAAGATTAGGAGCAACTCGACGAGTGGGATGAACAGCTCGTCCAGTCAGATGAAGATTTCCTTGTACTCGGCGAGTCAGGTCGCGAAACCCCAAACCCTTCGAATTGAGACTCGAATCAGTGAGTCGAGTGGAGACTCGGTGAGTTGGACAGATCAGGACTCGGAAATCGGTAGACTCGGCGAGTCATGGGCTGACTCAGCGAGTCGAGACGCAAATGGAAGGACTCTGAACATATGAACTCAACGAGTTAGTAGGGTGACTCGGCGAGTAGGGTTGACTTGGAAGGTTGACTTTGACCAGGACTTTGACTTTGACCAGAGTTGACTTGGTTGTCTCTCGGGGGTCAGTTAGACTCAGTATTGCATTAATATTGGTAGTTCGGGGAGCAGGAGTTCAGAGAGTTGCCGGGCAGCAGCTAGTGAGATCATCAACAAGTTCAGCCAGTGCAGGTGAGTTTCCCTTTGTGTGAATGGGTCTAAGGCCACAATGCCGGCCCATGTAGTTATGAGTAGAAGGCCCGGGGGTTAGCCCTAGGCACAATATGCTAGTATGATATTCAGGACGAGGTCCATTAATAGCGGGCGGGTGCCCAAGGATTTGTTTATATGATAGTTTATACTTGTTGTCTGTGTGATACATGTATGTGTCTGGTAGGGAGGTGAGTGTGGGCAAGGTCCCGTATCTCACCAATAGCAGAGTGTGGATGGTGTTCCACATCTCATTAGTAGCAGAACAGGGGCGAGGCCCAAGTTAGGGAAGGAGTGAGAGTGGGTTGGGCCCGTATCTCACTACCAGTAGGAGCGTGGACGGGGTTCCATGACTCATTAGTAGCAGGATAAGGGCGAGACCCAGGATAGGCGAGGCCTTAGGACATGATCAGTCGTATGAGTTTAACTTATGTGTTGTGATATGTTTATGTGTTATTATTTGTTGGCGGGCGAGGCCCTGTGATATGTTTATGTGTTATTATTTGTTGGCGAGCGGGGCCCTGTGACAGGCTAGGCCTAAGTGAAATAGATCTGTATCCGAGCGGGGCTCGAAGCCAGGCAGGGCTTGGAGCGGCGGGGCCGTTCTAGCGGGCGTGGCCCAGTATGTG